GGAAGGCAGAGATTCCTTTGTCGCCAGACATCATGAGGATCATCAGCTCCTGTTGCAGCCTCTTGCCCACGGAACCCCTGGGCTGCTCCCCCGCTGGGCTCGGCGCCTTTTTGGGCGGCTACGACACTGGCTGAGGCTGGGTCGTGATTTTGGGAGGCCATTCGCATGGTGTTGGCAGACAGGGTCTCGGAAGACTGGGCGACTGGAGGGCAACTGCCGATGCAGTTTTTGAGGTTAATTTGGGGGGCTTGGTTTGACTGGGTAAGGGTGCTTCCTAGCAGTACCTTTCTTTGGGTCTCTGATAAACTAGCTGACAAAGGATTTAACTTGTTGCTCATATAGTTACTAGCTTCCTCTTAATTGTGTACTGCTTAATTGCCATTATCTTAGAGAACACTTTGAGGTTTGAATTTCCCATATTCTGTTTCAAATAAAGCCCTTTCTTTTAGGAATAGCTTTGTAAATTCTCTTCTTACAGCCTCTCTCTTCACTTGAATCTAAATCTCTGAGCCAGAGCTCCAGAGCTGGGGAGGGGGACAGTGGCCCAATTCCCTGAGGGATGACACTGCTCTGGGAGTGGGGCTCTGGTACAGAACCTTTGCTTTCTGGGCTTGCCTTTTCCAGTGTTGAGCTTCGTCCTATGAGGAAGTTAGGGTGATGGCATTGAGGGCCCCAGTATTCTTGGCTTTCCCACTCTGTGAAGTAAATAGGAGCTGATCTGGGAAGGAGCCCTAGACCTCTCAACCTCTGTGCCTTTGCCAGCCAGAGCTTTGCCTCCTCCAGGGAAATTCCACAACCCTGTCTGGGAGCCAGATCGGGAGGAAGTTGTACAGAGCTGTATCATGCTCACCTGGGAGCTAGTGGGAGCAGCAGGTGGTGGCTCACATGCCTTCGACTCCCTGTTCTTACTCAGCAGTAGGTTTTCTGGAACAAATGAATGTTTCTTCACTTGATGTATTCCTATAGAACAATTTCTAAAGACTTCAATTTTTTGTTTTTCGAAATAATTTTCAACACTGATGTCAGTTTGCCTAGAGAGAGGGTTTGTGGAATCCTTCTGTCTGCTATACTAGAAATTGTTTTTATTGATGAGAATATACACCCCCAAATGACACCAGTTTAATCATTTCTACATGGTTCAGTTCAGTGACATTCATTACATTCCTTGAGGTGTGCAGTCATTCTCTCTGTCCTTTTCTGAGTGGTTCCTCCTACATTCACATGAACTCACCTGCCCCAACATCCCCCTCTAATCTCTCCAGTTGCTCTTATTCCTCCGTTCCGCTGTAGGTCTTAAAAGAGCCTGCCTGATGCGCAAGGCTTTTATTAACTAGATAAATTATTGTTTTTTAAAAATACTTCCAGGATATTTTTGGTTTAATGTTTAAAGATTATCTCAGGGTGACAATACAGGAGTTCCGATGTAGTCCCTATGGCTCCAGGAAGTCTGGAGTGTATGAGAATTTGAATTTCTGTTTATGTAACACACACACACACACACACACCATTTGATCAGTGTTTTATAGAATCCTTGGTTTAAATGTTTAGTCATGATAACAGCACCATCTAGCCCTGGTGGTCTGCTCAAGGAGGCACAAATTCATGGAAACAGTTAGCCACACATCTTACTTCTTTCTCCTATTCTTGACACTTTTCCTTACTCTGCTATCTTAGGCAAATAGGGACTAGTAATTGTACCTCGATGGCCACTTGGGCGCCTTTAGAACTCTGCATGCTTAGAGGTAGAACTAGGAGGTAGAAATATTAAATATGTTGTTAGGCCAGTTAACTAGGGTGTCTTGTGAAACCGTGACCCCAAACCTCCAAACCAAGGAACCATATCCCATGAAGTTTTTAGTTGTGTATTTTATTCTTGTTGGGAATAAATGTCACAGAAGCACATATAGTTTTGAAGGTTTATTGGCAGTAATTACAGTAATTGTGCTGTCCTAGCCTCAGTGGAAATTTTCATCTTTTAGGAAAATTAAAATATTAAGCAAAAATACACATTCCTGCATAGCCATCATTTCTAGCATTCTTCTTTTGTTTGTATAGTTGCAAATTTCTATCAGTATTTTCTGCCCAAAGAGATGTAGTACAGGTCTGCTGGCAGCGAACTCTTCAGATTGGTTTGTCTGAAGAAAGCTTTATTTCACTTTGGAGTTTTGAAAGATATTTTTGCTGCAAATCACATTCTGTGTTGGTAGTTTTTCTTTAGGCGCCTCAGAGGTTCCACTGCCTTCTGGCTGCATGGTCTCTGTTGATCTTTTGTCTCGTCTTTCTGTGTGGATAGATGTGTGTGAACTGGAACCCGACTAGCAATACTTTTTGACTTACCCTCAGAGGTGCCCCTTTGTGAGTGGCGTGTTTTAACTCCGCATCATGTTTTGAAGGTTCGTTCGTGTTGCATGTATCACTTCAATTCTCTCCGTGGCTAATATTTTTGTGCATGTACCCCATTTTGTGTATTTATGTTTGTTGATGGATATCTAGGTTGGTCGGCATTTTGACTATTGTGAACAGTGCTTCTGTAATCATTGGGGTGCATGTACCTTTCCTTGTCATTGCTTTTCATCTCGTAGCTATATACCGCAGAATGGGGTTGATATGCTATGGACTTCAAGAAACAAGCAAATCTATCATAAAACTACAGCCAAAGGCTTCTCCAGAGTGAGGATGGCGAGGCTTTGTTTCATGCACTTTGGCCACATTATCAAAGAGGGGCCAGCTCTTGGAGAAAGTATCACACTTGGTAGCGTGTCAGGAAAAGGAGGAAGTCCCTCGATGAGATGATTAACACAGTGGCTGAAGTACTGAGCTCCAACATGGCGGTGCTTGTAAGGACGACACTGGATGAGGCAGAGCTTCATTCTGTTAAACTAAGGGTTATAAGTCAGAATCGATTTGACGGCAGTAGGATTTTGCTTGGTTTTGTGTTTTGTTGTTAATGGTGTAATGAACCTTGATCTAGTGCAGAGTGCAGAACCACTGGTGACGTGGTTAAGCATTTTACTACTCGTGGGAATGTCTGCAGTGAGAACCCAAAGCTGCCCCAGGGGAGAAAGGAGTGCAGTCTGCTTTTTTAAGGATTTGCGTTTTAGGATCATGTGAACATGAATCAACTCAACAGCAATGGGTTGGTTTGGTTAATGGTTTAGTAGCTGTTTTAATGACATTCTGAATTCCATCCTAGTTCCCTTTTCTAAGTCTGCTTTTTACTCATTCTCCTAGTTAGGGAGCACATTTTCCCGTCCTTTGTATGTCTAGTAATTACTGTTCAGATCCTAAGCATTGGTTTTTATATCATTTTATTGAATCCCCTTGAAGTATATGTTTTGCTACAGGTAGTTCTTTACAGTGTGATCCTTTTAAGGCTTAGAAATTTCCCTTAGGACAGGATCTGAAGTAGACTTTATTCTTCAGCTAATAGGGTTTCGGTCTCAGGCATGATCCTACTGGGTTGGCAAAAAGCCAGCTGCCCTATCCCCAGCCGTGAAGTCAGGACTGCCGCAGTGGGTATTTTGTCCCTTTGTGATAGAGCTCACAACCTGAAGTCTGTGTGTAAGGAGTCAAGGTCTCCTAACAAAGACTTCTCTTTTTTGGTTTTTTAGGACAACCAATGAAGTGCAACCTCCACATGAACGGGAATGTTATCACCTCAGACCAGCCCATCTTGCTGTAAGTTCCAAAGGCTGGGGCACCAGGGGTGGGGTGGAGTTTTTCCCGCCACATCTGCTGCTGCTGCATGGTCATCACTTCTGACCCTGCACCCCAGCTCTCCTGCTCACCATCTTTCATTCCAGTCCCTCCGTTCTAATGGCAGGCAGGCAGTCATTCAAATTTGAAAAGTGGCTAGTCTAGGCATTTCCCTAGGGAATTGTCCCCACAGAGCCTGTCATGAGGCCTTTATCGTATAAGGTTAGCAACATCTGAAGGATGGAAAGTGGATAGGCTGGTCCTTCTGCCTTTGCACAATTGCAGGGATTGTCCAAATGGAAACCAGTGCAGGTAATGCCACTTGTTTTGGCACACATCTGGGAATGCACATACGTGGCCTAGGTTGGAGCCTAAGATGGCACAAACTGTCTAGTGGCAGTTCATAATGCGTAAATGGCAAGACATCATTTTCTAGATGGGGAGACAGAACATGAAGGAGAAAACTGGACCTGCCATGGTCACTTGACCAGTGTCTGGCAGAACCTGGAGTGTCACTAGGAGTCCTCTCTCGGCCAGTGTGCCTTCTCCCCATGTCTTGCTTTGGCGTGTGGGGAGGGAGACATGGCGGTGTGCCTCTGGTATCCACACGGACTAGCCCATCTGAAGACTGAAAGACTCTCAGAGTTATTGAATATTGACTTTAGCCTTGGAAACTTTCTTAAACTATAAAGACGGTGTTTGAAGTTACACACACACATTCAGCTGGGGTTCGTTGTGAGCCACTTGTGCTCAGCATTGTGCTCGGTGTGGGCATATCAGTGGGAGCCAAACAACGTCCTTGCCTCCACTGAGTTCTTACACTAGTCAGCTACTCCATCTGGCTGCAAGTTGTGATTAGCTTAGAAGGAAATAGGTGAGCAGCCCGCAGGAGAATAAAGGGTGGCAGCTACTTCAATTGGGGCCATTGTAGGGGTACAATGCAAGCCTGAAAACAGCTTTGAAATCTTGAAAAAACTGGAAAGCTAAGAAATGAACTCTGTGATTTGGACATGTTTCTTAAACGGTTTTCTAGGGATAAGTTGTATTCTTAAAACGAAGTTGTGTGAGCTAATAAGTTTGAGAAACATTGGGCACAAAAGAGTTGATTTGATTGCTTTACTTCTGGCAGCTCAGAATGTGCCCTGAGCTCATGTGATTCAGGACCACCTGGAGAGCAGACAGTGAGTGTGTCCTAAACTTAGGGCCCCAGAACAAGCGGGCCGCACACAGTGCAGATGGAGGAGGACAGGAAGTGTGACACTCAGTGCCTAGCTCAGAACACATACTCTAAATGGTGGGTCCCTTCCTCATCTTTGGAGACCTGGCCAAGAATTTGTTTCTTTTCTACTCTTCACAGGCGGTTGAGTGACAGCCCCTCAGTGAAAAAGGAGAGTGAGCTGCCTCGCAGGCTGAACTCGGCCACCTCGTGCAGCCCTCCTGCAGAAGTGGACCCCGACACCATCCTGAAGGCACTCTTCAAGTCCTCGGGCGCCTCTGTGACCACGCAGCCCACAGAATTCAAAATTAAGCTCTGAGTCGGGAGGGGAGGTGGCAGAACATCTGGGAACAGAGAAGGGTGGCTCTGTTTCCCAAAGCCAAGTTTGTGACCAATGGGCCGTTGGACTGGAGGCCCTGTCAGAGTGGGAAGGGTCGCTGGGTAGAGACCTTCCTCATTGGACAGGAACCACCTTCCTGTCGTGTTCTACCCTGTGTTTTTCTGTTCCTTAACATTTCCTGTAGTATGTTTTTTCTACTCTCCACCTCGTCATCACAATAGGCCTGTGTTTCTCAGTGCCCCTCCTCCCACTCATCTCAGCCCCAAGTGGAATTCGTCTCTGGAAGTACAGTCAAGACTTTTCCAGGTGGTCCTGCCGTGGTCCTTAGGGCCAGGGCATGAAGGAAACAGTGTTCTCTAGGAGGTGAGGTCAGCTGAGAATGAACCTGAGTGGGACTCGGGTACCGCTCCCTTGTCCCCCACCACCATTGGCTGTAGACCTATGCTTTGGAGAGTCAAGGCCAAGTGGCAAGGACAGGTCTCAAAAGGCTTGAAGGATCCCTGCTCTCTTATCAACCCAAAGCAAAATTTCAGATTTCACATCACTCTTTTTGCGTTTTACCAGATGCCCTTCCCAGGCTCTGTCTGCCTTGTGGGTGTCAACTGCAGGGAGAGGCTGGCATGTTAGCTGCCCTAATCCTCATCTAGCAGGGCACGTGTCAGACCCTGGGTTTGGTACAAATACCAGCAGGTTCAACTCTCGCCTTGTGGGACTTTGTAGGTGCTCCCGTTCTGTGGCACTGTGGAGGGGGCATTATTTGAATGGGAGATGTTGGTTATAGCTTGCCCTTACCTCTTGCTTCCCGGACTCCTCTGTCTCTAAGATAATAGGGATGCCGAGAGGAACTTCTCCAGCTGCCACCAAGGAATCCCCATCTGTAAGAGACCACAGGGAGACTCCTGACCTGGCAATTGGTTAAGAGAGCAGAGCAGCCATTCCGTATAAGCCCATGGACATTTCTCCAGTATGGTCCCAGTTTAGCTGGGGCTCCCTGAAGACCAGTTTCCTGCCGATTTGCTGGGATGGGAGCCCAGGCTTTCAGAGCTGAAGCAAGATGGGGAGCCAAGGTCCTGGGAGCTTCACAAAATCAGCGACAAGTGACAAGAATGTCACAGGGCTAGAAACTCGAGGCTCTGAAGCCCTGAGAGCTCAGGACCTGTTTGGGGTTGGTACAGTGAATGAAAACCTAGAAATTCCTGTTAACACAGTTCAGGCTGCCAAGCACAGGGGCACCAGGTTTTGAGCCCACCTCCAGCTTCAGAGGCCCAGCTCTGAAATTGGCCAGACCGGGATGTCCCAGGAAGGTGCCCATTTTCAGCATCTTTCCACAATTCTGCTTTCCCCCTTTAAGTGGCACAAACTTTGTTCGCCTTGCCATTGTAAGTCATTCCTCCCACCCTTTGCTAAGGAAATACCCAGAAGTGGTAGGATCTAGTTTTTCTGGTGCTGGACTTTGACTGCTCTTTGGACCCTGCTCAGCAGGGGGTGGTAAAGTCACTGCTGGCATGGCTTCACCCTCCCCTCCTGTTTCCACGCCAGGTGTGCTCTATTTATCCAGGTTTCATTAAGCCGACTGCAGCCACCTGGAGCCCAGGTTCTAAATAGTTCTTTGGAGATTGGGATGGGGTAGGTGGAAACTGTTGGCTTCCCTTGCTCTACAGGACGTCATGTTGGGGAACAGAGAAGGGAGGTGGTGGTCTGTCATGTCTCCCTCTCCACCTCCTAGACTTAGTACATTACCCACCTCTTTTTGTTCAGAAGGAGAAGAGGCAATGAGTGAGGGGAAAGACTGTATTACTTAAGCATTTCTGAATAAATGATTGTTATTCCTACCTCTGAGCTGTCATTTCTTTAAAAATCCAGCTACACGGTCCATGGAACTTTGTATCCGAATACAGCACTGTCTGCTCTGCTTTACTCCACCAGCTGTGACCTGGGCCAGTTACGGGACTCGCAGAAACAGCCTCTGCAAACTGAAGGGGCAGTGTATGTAGTAGGGTGGGTTTTATAGAGAAACAGAACCAGCGACGTTCACAGATGTGTAAGAAAGAACTCTATCAAGGAAGTCATCCAGCCCAGCTCAACTCAGGTCTGTGTAGTCAGAAACCCTCCAGACGCACAGTTGCCAGCAGATGAAACAGACGCTGGAAGATCATAGGCGGGTCGCTACAGAGTCCTGTGAGTCCAGGTTTGGCGGGAACATGGCAGGGCACACAGGCCTCTGGCCCTGGAAACCAGACACAGGATCCGAGCAAGTCGGAAGCAGCAGAGGAAGGGATCAGTTCTTCACAGCGTCTTTTATAAATGGGCCACACTTCGAAGGAGATGGCATTAGGCTGTCCTGATGGAGGCGTTGGATCTGCCCGTATCCCCACAAGTTGACAGCCTATCACAGCGAGCATTGCTGTCCAGCACATCAGTGAGGGGCCGACAGTGCTTCCTGGGGGTTCAAGTGGGCAGCTCCCAAAGCGCAGTCTGTTCAGAGGGAACAAGAGCAGCTGACTAATGTACCATCACTTGAAGACATCCTGTGTTTTGTTTCCACTCATACCAACCATCTGAACTTTGTTTAGAGATAAATGCTGTCCTTTTGATTGTAAATGGTTAAGAATCTAGCACAAAGGTGAGTTCACGTCCAGCCCTGAAGGGTGACTCAGCGCAGTCTTGGTTTCACCGGTCTCTAGTGATCAGTAAGGCTGGTCTCACGAGTTTGGGTTTGGGTCCATACTTTCCTCCTCTATCCAGCACCTTCTAATGTGATCGTTTTGAAAGCAGTTGGTCGTTACAGTGGGGCAGCATCTAGTTCTGGTCTCCGGGTTGTGGAGACTGATAGTTACATGATTCATTGAATTGATTTCCATACCTTTCGACTCTCTCATCATGGCTCCCTCCAATGGGGGAGAAACCAATAGTGAGTTGCACCTTAAGTGCTGCTCACACTAGTTTAAGACCTCAGTATCACTTATCCAAGTAGGTTGAAGAACAAGATCTTTGTGAGTTAAGCCAGTTGACCTTGTCCCCCAATTGACTAATGGCCCTTCACCACACTCACGGGTGAAAGTTATTCTGAAATCAACTATGCTTCAGGAGAAGTAATGTGTTCATGGTTGGTTTTATTAGCAGCTCTTCCAGAAAGATGGTATTGAAGTACTTATCCTTGTCCCTCATGAAGTACTGCTAAAAATGCGACAATATAAGGCAGGTAGAGTAGAAGGCAGGCTGGCAAGGAATGAATGGTATTGACATCCTTGGGTTTCCTTTTTTCCTCGCCTCATAGCCCAGATGGTGAAGGGGAGGAGTAGGCAACCCAGAAATGCCAATAGGTGCAGACAACCCAAGAGGAGTCTTGCTTTCTAGGAAAGACTCTAGTCAGAAACTCCTGTGACCCCTACCCTCACCAGCAAAGGCTGTTGGGAGCCTAGACTTACACCCTTATTGTGCTACATTGGGGTGCCCTGAAGCCCTCACATGGGGTGGTGTGAGAGAAAGCCAAGTTGGAAGGTGGAGCTTTCAATGGACACCACAATGGGGAGAAGAAATTAGGTGCCCTAGCCTCCCAAAGCTAAGGTGTCAATGAGCAAAATGGGTAGATAAAATACCCCACTCCCACTGGCAGCAGTAACGAGAAGCCCCTTGCACCCTGAGGGACAAGAGCGCTCAAATGGGGAAGGAACCCAGACTTACCCCTAGAAGTACAAAGTGATGCCTCCCCCTCCCCAGCAGCAGCGTGTCAGAGGAGGCGTACTATATAAAACAAGGTTCAAAGAAGTTTGAGACTCACCTATTTGTTGTCCAGGTCTCAATCAAGTTACTCAGACCAAACAAGTTACTCAGATCAACAGACATCAAATTGGAGAAGACATTGATGTTAGAATTTTACAGCAGCCATTATAAGCATTTTAACAAACAATAATGAACATGCTTGAAACATGGAGGTGGGAGGAGTTTAGCAAAGAACTTGGAGATTTAAGGCAGAACCAGACAGAAATCTTAAGACTTTAAAAATACAACCACCGAGGCCATCAAGCTCAGAAGCAACAAAGCCCACATGGAAGAAGCACACCAGTCTATGCGACCACGAGGTGTCGAAGGGATCAGGTATAAGGCATCAGAACAAAAAATCTTACCATAGTGAATGATGGGGGGAGTGCGGAGTGGAGATCCAAAGCCCATTAGTAGGCCACTGGAGATCCCCTTGCAGAGGGGTCTCGGAGAGGAGACGAGCCAGTCAGGGTACGATGTAACAACGATGAGAAATACAACTTTCCTCTAGTTCCTAAATGTTTCCTCCCCGCTCCCACTACCATGACTCGGATTCGACCTTGCAAGTCTGGCTAGACCAGAGGAGGTACACTGGTACAGATAGGAACTGAAAATACAGGGAATCCAGGGCGGATGATCCCTACAGGACCAGTGGTGTGAGTGGCGAAACAGGGAGGGTAAAGGGAGAGTGGGTTGGAAAGAGAGAACCGATTACAAGGAACTATATGTGACCTCCTTCCTGGGGGACAGACAACCGAAAAGTGGATGAAGGGAGACGTCGGACAGGGCAAGATATGACAAAATACCAATTTATAAACTATCAAGGGCTCATGAGGGAGGGGGGAGCGGGGAGGGAGGGGTAAATGAGGACCTAATGTCGGGGGTTTAAGTGGAGAGAAAATGTTTTGAGAATGATGTACAAATGCGCTTTACACAATTGATGTGTGTATGGATTGCGATAACAGTTGGATGAGCCCCTAATAAAATGTTTAAAAAAATAAAAAATAAAAATACAACCACCGAAGTAAAGAGCCCATGTTCCACCATCTGTACATTGCCAGCTGCCCAATGTATTTCCCCAGGCTAGATGTGTCCTGTAAATACATCTATCTGCCCACCGGATGTCTCTCTCCTTGGATGTTTCAGTAGCACCTGAACCAGACCCACTCTGGGCTCTTGCTCTGCTTGCCGTCCCTGCCCCAAGGTCCTTCTGCCTCACTGTCCCCCCATCTCAGAAATTAGCAAAGCCATCCTGGCTGCTCAGACCAATGTAGCAGCCCACTTTAATGCGCCCAATTAACCATTTTGTGTAAGTTAGCCTAAGTGTAGCTATTTTGTATCAGTGTTAAGTGTGGTCACTTTGAAGCTACTGTAGTTCTGTGACTGCTGGCCCTTTATCATTTATTTTGTAATTGCTGATCTTGTGTGTAACCCCCTTTGCCCCTATATTTTGAGGAAGTTGCATGAAGCCACATGCCTCGGGACTGAAGCTGAAGGAGCACCTGGCATTTGCTGCATAAAAAAAGTTAGACAAGTTCCCGTTTCTCCACATAGCATAACATCATCTGCCCCTATGTCCTGTTTATCCCACAGGATAAAAGGGGTCTGAAGGGCTCAGGGAATAGCTGGCACTCTGGCCGCTGGCCAGTAAACTTGGTCGTTCTTGAGATCTCATTCTTAGCACATCAAAGCCTAGGAGTAATCCGGGATTTCTCTCTCTCTCACACACGGCACATCCAATCAAATCCTATTGGGATTTTTCAAAACACCCACAATCCGACCACCTCACCACTTCAACCATTCACCTGGTGACCAAGACGTCACTTTGGGATTCATGCAGTGGTGTCCTAGAGGCGCTCCTTGCCGCTGCCCTTGCTCTCGCGACATCTAATCACAACACAGAAGCCAAAATTCTCTGTTGGAAATTCCACTGTGCCCCTCCCCACCTTGTCACACTCAGTAACAATCAAGGTCTTTCCCCGGGGTCTGCCAGGCCCAACGGGATCTGCGGGGCTTCTCTGATGGCCGGAGACCCTACACCTTGAACGCTCACCTCCTTCAAGTACTGGCTCAAATGTCACCCCATACAACTCTCACCTCTCCCCCTCACACTGGCCCCTCCCTCCGCTTGTCTTTTCAGCACTTACCACCACGACGGTATACGCTTGTATTTTGCTCGTGCGTTCCTGGTCTCACTTCCTTCATTACAAACTCCAGGGAGAAGGCTGGGTTTTGTTTCATCGCTGGATCCCTAACTCTTGGCACTGTTTCTGCAGCGGCCACTGACCTTTGAGGAATAAGTGAATGATGAATGAATGGTGGGGTGACTGCATGGAAAACCGAGTTGCATCCATGAGCTACTCCCGCCAAAGTCCACAAGGACTCTGACTCCCACTCACTGACTTTATTTTGAGCAACCGGAGGAAGCGCCCAGACCCTTGAGGTCAAGCCGGCGCCGAGGGGGCGGGGCTCCGACGTGACGACGTCGTCGTGGAGGAGCGTCCGCGTCTGGCCAGAACTACAGTTCCCAGCGCCCCCCGCGCCTTCCGGTTGGCAAGATGGTGGCTCGTA